TTTGTATGTATACGATATACATTTTAATTTCAAGACTTTTATTAGTCTTTCATTCTTGGTTTTCAAGAACTGTTTAGTGAATGTAAAATATAATTTCTTTACATAGATATAAATCTCACTCCGTTGTTTAATTGGAATGTTAAACAATTATTTTTATACCTCACAGCTGAATATCAAACAGAAAACAATGATTTTAATCAGGTACAATTAGAAAATTAGAATGCTCATACTTTTTGTATTCATTAATTTATTGATAAATACAATAATACTACATTATTCAATTTAGGTAATATTATGGGATAAAATAGTACTTAGAGGAGATAAAGCTGCACTAGAGTTTAAAACTATGAATACAAAATATTACTTTTGGGATGACGGTAATGGTTTGAGGTAATGTTCATCATTAATAATAAAGATCCAATAAAGTAAAAATAAATGATACTAAACCTGAGTGAATGAATCAATTTGTTTTTTTATTTTTTCAGGGGAAATAAAAATGTAACGTTAACATTATCATGGAATATTATACCAAATGCAGGACTTCTACCAGGTGTTAATGCCTATGGTTCTCATACTTTTGCATTCCCATCTGCATATACCTCATTACGTGTGTAAGACACATTGATACATGTAATATTTCAATATTTATGTAAAGTAAATGTATAATGAATGTAATATTATTTTCATGTATCATTATTAAAAACTTGGTCATACATAATTTGATACATATTTTTATTACGTTTATTTCACACATATTTTTTTATAATATCAAAGTGTTTGTAACTTAATTTACAATGAATTTGTTAAGAACACACTTAAAAAGTATTTATACGTCACTGTGAATATCAATATTGAAAAAATACCATTACATAGCTTTCAGTATTTTGATAATAATAATTATATTCTTTAAGACAAAATATATTATTATTTTTATAAAGATAACAATTTAATATATTTATTTTTAACTTTACATTTAATGTGCTTTAAATTCTTGCTAAATTATTTTCATTGAAGTGTTAAGTCTGTAGTACTTTATTAGTGACATTTTCTTCAGTTTCACTTAATGACTCATCTTGTTCCTCTTCTTCGTCATCGTCGTCGTCGTCGTCATCGTCATCATCATCATCACCGTTATCTTCCTCATCTTCACCTTCGTCATCATCATCAATATTATAATTTTCAGAACTATAAGCCTGAGATTGATTTCCTACAACAGAAAAGAATATGTATGTACATAATGAATTGTCCGAACATAAAATGAATATTGAAATATAAACAATTTTTGTACCATAATAATTATATTCATTTTCTTCATCAGATTCGTAAATGTCACTTTGATTTTGTCTACCAAACTTATGACTTCTCGCTGAAATGAAATTAAAAATGTGATTATACAAATTATGACTTATAATTTATGCAGAATTTGTAATACTCTGGGTATACAAATATACCATTGATGAATTATTAAATGTTATCATAACATGCAGAAATGATATTTTTGAATTTTTTTCATGTGCAATAATGTAACTGTTACTTACTTGACATGCTAAGATCTTTTGTTTGAGATGTTTCAAAACTACACTTAGGACATGGTATAGGCTTATTTTTTTCATACTTAAATCCTTTTCTTCTAACGTGATCTTCGCAATAACATGTTTTACATCTTAAACATGAATACTGTCCCAAACGATTGCAAGATTGACCTGGAAGTATTAATCTTTTTATACTAAATTCAAAAATTTTTAAGAAAGTACCAATATAAATAAATCAACAAAGTTTGATAAGATACTTTTCAAGTATTCTTACATTTAAAACTTTCTGCTTCTAAAACTTGACACGATGCTTGATGCTCAAACTGATCGTCTTCACAAAGAAAGCAATTGCAAAACGAGCACCGAAATATTCTACCACCATGATCCCATACTCCTCTTTCACATTCTTGACAAACTGCATCTGCCAATGGACACATGCATGCGTGGGTGGTAAGGCAGCGTCTTCCATGACAAACCCATGCCTCGCAATGATCACATATTGCACCCTATTTAATTTTTAATAAGTTTTATACATATAATTTACTTATAACTATATTTCATACTATAATATACTTATAACAATTATAATATTTCATTTATTAGATAAACTTACCACCATACCTAATCCAGTAGTAAATATACCAGGATGACGAACAACGCAATCTCCGGTTTTCAGCATACATTTCATCTTTCCACAATGAGCGCACAGAGGTAATCGTTGCAAGCTTTGACAAAAATAGCAAAATGCCCTACTCTTCTGTTTCTTGTTGCACTTATCACACTCCTTTGTATAAATGACAAAGAATTAGTTCAAATAAATTATAAAGCAAAGCTTCATGCATAGAAATAAATATTCTTTTGTAATGTTCTATAAAACTTTGTAACCCTGTTATTTATAATTTTTTATTTAATATGATAAATGATAAGATAATAATTCAGTTTTCCATTATAATGCTGAAGTTATTGCATATAAAGTTGCATATTAGCATTAGTTATAGAATTACTTACCATTACTGCATTGCAAGGAAATTTAGCTAAATCTACTTGATCTTTTGCAGTTCGAATTTCTTTTTGCCTCAACTTTTGCTTTTCTGCTTTTCTTCTCTGACCTGTCTTTTTTTTCGGCATATTGTTACCTTTTTTGTAGTTTATAGAACAAAATTAATGCAAACACATGTATTATTCCTAAAGTACAAGTAAACTCTTCACTAGTTATTCTACACGTATAGCATTTTATTTCGATTAATCGAATCGAAAAGACAAACAATCTCGATTAATCGAAAAATACTCGGAAAATTTAAAATTATTCTTACGAACATTTGTAGTAAGTACTGTATATTAATAATATATTAAAAAATTTAGGAATGACATTTATTTGAAATATTTTATAAATTACAATTTACAGCTCAAACTTAACAATTAGATAATTCTTTAATTCTGAAATTCAGTTTTACCTTTTGTAATTACCAGATCGATTTTTATAAGATACTACATATTTTCAATGTACTTATTATATTAGATGTAGTAAAAAGTTCTTTCCAATTTTTCTTGCTCTTGTGACTTTTTAGGTTGTGAATAGTCGATATAGACGGCGTGCAGACTTCAGTAAAAGACAACTTGTAGAATATTATGATAACAATGTAATTTCTTATATTTCATATAAGAATCAACTAATGGTGTTACTAACTCTATCTAATTACGTTACACGAATGTTACGCGATGATACTAAGGGCTAAAGAGTAACGAATATATATAAGTTTATATAGGTGTAATAGGTATTATTCTAACAATTATATTTTCTTAATAAATAACACATTCGGCAGATCAAAAATTTGTATTTATACAACACCATTTTGTTAAAAAAGTATAATTTTTTTTAACAAAAATACAATTTTCGTACACTTTTTAATATTCTTCATGTGTTAATCCGTACGTGTAAACATAGATATATTTTCCTTACATTTAAGATTGAATTTTTTCCTCAAGTAATTTTTCCAATTTACGAACATCTACTGCAAACTTGCGAATACCTTCGCTTAATTTATCGGTTGCCATTTGATCTTCATTAAGAAGCCACCTAAATTTAGCTTCATCTAAACTGATTTTTTGAAGATCAGATTTTTTAGCTGATTCCACTGAAAGTACTTTGCGAATCGGTTCATTACTTTTCTCTAATTCCTCTAACAATTTTGGGCTAATGGTTAAGAAGTCGCAGCCAGCCAGTTCTTTAATTTGACCTGAATATAAAAATTGTGTAACATTTATTATAGCTGTAATTAACGTTTTTGAGTTTTTGTATCGACAGATGCTTACCAACATTCCTAAATGATGCTCCCATAACAACAGTTTTATAATCAAATTTCTTGTAATAATTAAATATTTTTGTTACAGATATAACACCTGGATCTGCTTCAGCTTCATATGATTTTTTATCTGTGTTTGATACATACCTGAAAATGTATTTCACTGTGCATATTTATGGTTTTCAAAATTTATAATTTAATAATTTTATAACAAGAGTAATTCGCTAGCATTTAACGGTTTAATTTTTATAACATCTTACCAATCCAAGATTCTACCAACAAATGGTGATATAAGAGTTACACCTGCTTCTGCGCATGCAACAGCTTGTGCAAAGGAAAACAGAAGTGTTAAATTACAATGTATTCCATAGTTTTCTTCCAATTCTCTACAAAAATTGAAACATTTTATAAATTTATTATGAGAAATATTTAAAGTTACCTTTTCATATTCTATTAATTATAAAGTTTTTACTTACTTTGCTGCCTGAATACCTTCCCAAGTGGAAGCAAGCTTAATTAGTACACGATCTTTATCTATACCATATTCTTCGTATAAATTAATTAATACTTTTGCTTTTTCGACGCTGTATTCTTTATCAAAAGAATATCTAGCATCTACTTCTGTAGAAACTCTTCCAGGTATAATGTTTAAAATCTCTTTTCCAAAAAGAACGCATATGACATCTAAGGCTGCTGAAACTTGTTCTTCCAAGGTACTGAAATAAACAAATAAATCTGTAAGCTTACAATTTACCTATACATTTAAGGGCATAAAATTATTATAAAGGCTCTCTGTTACTACTATACAGTGTGACCACTTCAGTTTTTATAATTTAATTAATATTATCCAGTTCGTAATTTATTTAACTAAAGTACAATCTGTTTTACTTCGTAAATGTACTAATATTTAATATCAAAATAATTACTCTCTTTAATTTACAAGTATTTTTGTACATAAATAAATAATTGGGGAAAAACATGTGATAATACTGTAGAATTTGAGCGATAAAACTAATTTTTATAAAATTTACATATGTTGTAGAAATCGACGTTTTAAACTTTTTCCCTTGAGAAAAATGTTGCTTCTATTTAGTTTTCAAAATAATTGCGATAAACTGTCGATACCAAAACATTGAATTTGCTTATACAGACATGAGTAATTAACAATGATCTTTGTATAGGAATCGTTGTTACCGACTATGAGGTAGTTGCTGATACAACAGCGACATCAGTTTTAGTATTTATAGGGTTATTCCGTCTAAAATTAGTTTCTTGCAATATATAGAAATAGTATTGATGGGGTTGGTTTTTCCAGGATGGGAGTGTAAAGCACTTCCCTTTTCCATGCCTTTACTTTATAATTGCCAAAAAAACTGCCAATGTGAATTTGCGACATTAGGTGATTAAAAGCAAAATGTCAGATTTTTCTTGGGACATCCTATAGATAGTGATTCCAATATCGTTATTCAACACCTCGTCAACGATGTCTACCACAATAAGAATTGTTAATTATGCCTATGTAGGAAAAATTCAATGTATTATACCAAAAATTTTTCATTAATATCTCAGAAATTAAAAATACTCGAAACTAAAGTTTAATACTTAGGGTCCTCCTCCCTCCCACAACTCCTTAAAATTTTACGTCGATTACCGAGAGGTGCTTTTGAGAAGAATACCCATTTGCTTTAATAGAGAAAGGAAGTCAAATATTAAAAAAATAATTTATTGCCAATATTAAATTGGAACTTTCTTAATAGTAAGCTTATTCTATATTATTGACTTATCCTTGAAAGGTCAAATTGCATTGTAGGTATAGCATTGCAATATATATTATACTGAATAAAAACAATGAATATTTTACAATAAAATCTATTCGTCAGATATATTTTTCTAATATGTACAATATTATTTTACTAATATGTACAATATTATTTTTCTAATAGCTACAATATCTTACATCAATTTTTAATGTGTAATCAATTATANTTCTGTTTTCAAGTACTTATCATATTAAAAGAAAATATTATAGTACCGTATTAACTGAAATTTAATAAAACATTTTAAATTCAACTATAAAACAATAGTATTTCTTCTGGAAATATAATGTGACTAACGTACAAAATATATAGACTTTCATGAAAATAATTATATATTATATCTGTTAAAATATTGAAATATACATTTAACAATTAAATACTATAATATGAAAAATACTTACGTTCCGTATTTTTTTCCAAAACTCACTGCTTTATCTATTAAATGAGCATATTTCTTTTGATTGGCAGCAGCAAGAATCAAAGATGGATTTGTAGTAGCATCTATTGGTTTAAATTGTTCCATTGCTGAAAAAAATTTACAATTTGAATTCATTATAAAATTTATGTTAATATACATCTATATAGAAGTCCATTATGTTAAAATAAACTTTTATATAATGCAATATTTCCTGTTCATACCTTCAAGGTCATTTGAAACATTTATGAATAATACAAAATGATTATTTAATTATAGGTAATATCATTAAAATTGCAAATAAAATAAAATGAATTTTTGTATGGAGTCATTGTAGACATATAATTTAATAAAACATGAAACATTTTGAAAATACAAATAAAAGTTTTTAAATATTTTTAAATAAATAACAATAATATATAATTAATTTTCATCAATTTTGTGCATATTAAAATCAAAATAAAAAAGGTATATAGTAAAAGTATGTAATTCAGTCGTAATATCGGACGATTTTGTAATATTCCCCACCACTGGCTTTATAACGTAATCTGAAGTTAAACAAGTACTTTTCCATCGCTAGAATACGGATATTCTATAGCAATAAATATGTGTTTATAAAATAAACATAATATTTAAGCAGGAAACGTAAAATAAATATGTTCTTAACTTAATATATTTGTAATATTTTAGAACTAAATTAAAAACGTGACACAGTAGTGTTTCTACTATATTTTCTGATAATCATCTTCACCTTTGTCCACGCTAACATGTTAAATCTGAATTTATACTTTTATTCATTTACTCACCTTGAAAATCACCAGTATCGGCGACAATTGTTGTAAATTCCTTTAATTGTGACAAAGAGCTTGACATCTTGATTATTTTCGGTTGAGATTCGCTCATTATCGTCAATACTTTCAAATGCGACTGAAGAAATTTCTGCGTCTTAACTGGAGTGACTATTAAGCATGATTCTTTGCAGGCTTACCAACATTGTATCACTCGATTTCTTTTGATATTATTCGTTGAACTCATTATTTTAAATATATAAATACGTAATGTGTACGTATATTATATTTACTTACGCTTATAATATATATGTACACGCACATACACACATAAACAAAATCAATGAAACTAAAATATGATATATAAATTTTATAAACTTCAAACAACTTCAAGTATAAAAAAGAAAAAAATCGTATTCTCAGATGTACGTGTAGGTATACACGTATGAAACCCATTATTGGTTCAAAAAGTAAAATAAAATATATGAGAAATTGAAGTAAAATATATTTGTACATATTTGCAGAATTATATAATTATTGCTATATTGCTAATATAGCAGAATATGTAAACAAATTTGTAAAGAATATGCATATATGAAGAGACTTATATTTCGTTATGTGACCATTTGGCAATTTTGAGTGGAACTTTTGATTGTGACATGAAAGCGTTTTATTCTTTGAAATTACTAAAATTTTTCCAATAAATTTATTGTGAACTAACAAATTCATTACGTAATTTTTAGAATTTTACAATTAAGTGTAATTGAGTTTTATAAACCATTAATGTTTTTGTAGAGATTATTTGTAACAGTAATTTGAATCTCCAATACAAATCAGTATTTGTTACTTGATGTAAATATGTTTTATGTAAATTCAAAATAAGTTCTACATAAAATAACATAAATATGAATTCAATTGATACTATGTACTGTTCTCTTTTTATGAATTTTTTTAATGTGATGATTTTTTTAGCAATTTTTTGCTATATTACAACAAGAATAAATATTTATTTTAGCGAGCAATTGTAAATAATGATCGGTTATAATTAATATAATTTATTATCAAGATTGATTCCTTTATTTGCCGAGCTTTATAGTTTATATTTGGCGCGTTTAAAATATACAACGATTTATTATAAAAATAATGCATATTTCGCAGAGTCATTATTAGATATGCATAATACAAGCGTGGTATATGGATATTTTATTTGTGCTAATAATAATTAAAATTCGTAATTGATTGGTAAAGTCAAAGATGAAATTAAAATAATAATGTGTTATTTTCTCGAGGACTTTATAAAATGAAGCAAAGGAAATATATACTATATTATTTCCTTAACAAATTATAATATTTTTTTATAATTCAATACGTGTATAATAATTAAATATTAAATTAAAGATTATAAATTTTAAAAAAATTCTAACTTGTAATTATATTAAATATATTTCATTAATTGCTGTCTTATGATTGTATAATTATGGAATTATAATTATGAAACGTCATAATTATGGAATTTGCACATTATTCATTCATGCGGTACATATAATAACTGCTTGTCATTACAATATAAATAAATATATACCTAGTACTTACTTATTCTATTATCGTTTTGGCATTGGAATGTTTGATATGTATGGTTGCTACTGGCAACGCAAATGTATACAATCGTACAGTTCGAATCATACTCTTTATTGATACGGAAAACAAGAATGAAAGCTAGTTATTTAGAACAGTTTTGGAATTTATGTAATTTTAATATTTATTGAATGTGCACAGTACTAAAGTGATTTAAATATGAGCTCAATTTTCGGTGCTGGTGACGGTAATGATAATACGAATGTCATAATTTTTGACACTTCTAAATGTAAAAGAAAATTGAATGAAGAATTTAAAGTGTTGCAAAGAAAGTTAAAATCTAAATGGAAATTTGTTGAGTATGTTAAAGTATTTTAACTGTTTTTTTCAGATCATTTGTCATGGAACATTTTTATATATCACATTTATTTCAGAAATAATGAAGCATTAACAGAAGAAACATTATCAACAGGTAAAGTGTTAGTGTTACCAGAACCCCAAAATAAATTCACGGAATTAGAAATGAATTCCATTAGAACATTTTTAAATTCTAGTAGACATATTTTAGTTATGCTTGGAGAAGGCGGTGAAAATAAGTCAAATACAAATGTAAATTTCTTATTGGAAGAATTTGGTATAATGGTGAACAATGGTATAATATTTCAAAATATGATGATGTAAATAAAATTAACATTTAAGGGTAATTCTGATTATTATTTAATTTTCAGATAGTGTAATACGTATGAGCTATAGTCAAACAATGCATCCAAAAGAATGCGTAATTTCACAAGGAATATCAAATAAGTCAATATTTTCAAAAAATCATGATGAATACACGTAAATTAATAAAATATAAAATATGAATTGTTTATTGAAACAAAAATGATGTAAGTTATACATGGGTTCTTTAATATTCTATTTATCTCTTTTCAGAGATATAAATTTTTTGTATCCATATGGTGCAACTTTAAATGTAGCTCAACCGTCAGTAGTTGCACTATCTTCTGGATCAATTGCAGTTCCAATAAATAGACCTATCTGTGCATATCACTACAGTGAAGCCAGTGGTGGTAAATTGGTTGTTTTAGGTTCATCAAAAATGTTAACAGACATGTATATCGATAAAGAAAAAAATGATTTATTAAGGGAAATGATATTTGATTTTTTTGAATCAAAAGAAATTGTGGCTAAAGAATATCAAATGGATTATGTAGATGTAAGCTTCAAAATTGCAATGAACTTTTACATCAGAAGTAATATTATTCACGGTTACTAATAGTATTATTATTCACTCAGTTTTGGGAATATAATTTTGTGCCTGATATATCACAGCAATCAGACAGTCCAAAAGTATGCACGCAAGATATGGACATAATGGATAATTCTTATGATTATACTAAATTATTTAAACATCACTTATATTCAATAAACTTAAATATAGTACCAGCTTGCATAAAGGCTTATGAAATTTTAGGAGTGAAACATGAACGTCTTAGTTTAATTCCACCACATTTTGAAGCTCCATTACCACCCACACAGGCAGCAGTAAAAATTTTATTATTTGTATATTGAATATATTATTATTAAACTATTCTATTGATTAAATCTAAAGTAAAGATTTTGATCTTAGGTGTTTCCACCAAGTTTCCAAGAGTTACCGCCACCAGCTTTAGAATTATTTGATTTGGATGAAGCTTTTAGTTCCGATTTATTGAAACTTTCTCAATTAACAAATAAATATATGGCTACAAAAGATCTGACAAAAGATATTGAATTGGATCATTATATCAGAGAATTTGGAAGTTTAATAAGAATAAACAATTCCAGTATTCACACAGCAAAAGAAGTATTAAATTCTGTCTTTCAAAGTATTTGCAGTTATAAAGCCATGCATGAATAAGAAAGCAAGAAAAAAATAAAATTGTAAATATTGTATATCATATTTAAAATAAAATGAACATATAAACACGTAACATAAAAAGTTTGTTGTTATTATGTAACATATTTTTCATTGATTTACCTGTACTGTAATATATAACCTTTTTCAGAAGTAATTTAGCATTTTCAAATAGGATATTGTGCTTCTAAGACTTATACAGATTAGATATGACTGTCACAAATTAAAATATTTAAAATCTTCAAAATACATTCTAACCTTTTCCGTAGTAACAGTATATATAAATTTAAATAAGTCCATAAGAATTTTAAATAAATATGTGTGTATATAGTTATGAAACACATTTGTTATTGTAAAATGTGGATAAATTTATAGTTTCAAAATATAGTATCATCTGTATCCAGTAGTAAATTTCGATCCGTTGATATCCTCTTATTTGTATATTAACATATCTATACGCAGTAAATTATGCGTCTTTTTTAAAAGTTTTAAGATTCCGTAACATACATTTAGTGCTTTTAAAGATATTGCAGAGATTTTTGAAATTTTAGAGTTCTATATCTTACAATTATTACAGTACACGATTCGAAAGAAAAATGATTCTCATTAATTTATAGATTAATAGTATCTACTCTCGTAAGTTCAATGTCTTCTCGCGTTAGGTCATTAGTCCAACCACATTTACGCAACTACATATAATACGAAATCTTACAATTCGTATAAATACGAAAAGATTTATTTCCTGATATAACACGAATTCTAAGCATAGATGCTTGAAGTAATAAACAGATTGGTACAGTCTGGCTAGTTGAAATTAGGTGAATGTACTGAAATAGTTTTAAGTAAAAGAATTTTTAGTTTATTTCTTTATGAACTATATAATCGTAAATTCACAATGTTTTATAAATTACTTACTTACTTACTTCCTTACTTTTCCGAGCGTAATCTATACAGGGCGATACTTTTTTTATCGCAAAATAAAGAGAAGATTCTACTCATACAAAGACAGAAGTAGATTACAATTAAAAAAAAATAGTGTAACTGTTAAATGCTTGTGCATTATTGCTCGTATTAAACAGTGACCATGAATATATGCAGAGTGTTATATCAATCATTTTTGTTCTGTAACATTTTTTTGCACGAATCACCTTGTATATACACTGCCTCATAAAATTAAAGAACCACTATGTACTATTGTAATTAAAAAATTATCAATATTTAAATTCCTGCAACTTCATAATAAAAAGTCATGTTACATTATGTGTGGACTCATTTTAAAGCGTGACGCTTCTGCTTTCGCATTCCGTACATATTTAGTTATACAAGTTTTTCCTATGTTGTATTAGCTCGCGTAGCAGGTGGGAAAGTAAACATACTTTTTGGTTTCTAAAATTGTGCGAATTCAAACATGAAATATGCAATCATCAGCAGGTAAACAATATTTACGTTTTTCGTAGATGATGGAGAGAGTTATTTAACTTGTATACTCTTTAGTACTTTCACTATTCCTGTGTATAATTAAAATAAACACAAAATTGTTAGATGATATTTATTTACATTACGAAGTATGCACTTTGCAGATTAGCGACTAAAAATTTCATGAAAAATAATTTTCAAAATTTCTATGGGACAACAGTTCTGCCTTTCACAGATATAAAAATAAATTATTCGAAAAACAATAAGACTTCGTTGATTATATTATGCAAGTAAATCATGTACATTTTCAATAAAAATTCAGTATTCATATTGTATTGTACTTTGAAATTGTGAATTATGTTTAATATTCTGATAAATGTCTATAAAATATTATGAGTGTATAAAAAAATTTAATATTGAAGCAAAAAGATAAAAAAGAACATGTTTTTTATTTATATGTGATTCGAATCTTCTATTGCAAGGTATTTATTAGACAAATACACAAATTACAATTAATGGATAAAATCATGCTTCGAAAATATTCTGTATCACTTTGTAAGATCTCGTATTATTTGCCTAAGCTATCACTCTCGAACTGAACTCGCATCGTTTTTTCGCGCGTTCGTCGTTTTCACTTATTTATAATGCGACTCCCACGTTTATAGCAGCGACCATAGGTTTAAAAGTGCACAGGAGTAAGAATTGACCGCAGATTTCAGCTCAGCTCGCGGCTCGGCCAATAACAAGCACTTGCCGAAACCGAACTCCTATAACTAACAGGCCCAACGCCGTGACTGAACGTCTCCTTTTACCCCTGTGCACTTTCAAATCTTTGATCGCTGCTATAAACATGGGAGTTGCACTGTACTATTTAAAGCATAAATAATGTTCAGTAGAAATGGAACGGAGCAAGAGGAGTCTTTCCCTGTTGAGCGTCGCATCGGTAACGAAGGAACCCCGTCCGTTGTTTCATGCATTCTCGACTCTAACGTGCGATTGGTCGAAACGGTCACATACCCTAAGTTCATCGCGTTACACAAAACTGAAAAACTCCTCTTGCCCCGTTCTCTTGCCGCTGGACAATACTTACATGTTTCGTTTTATGTTCAAAAAACGCCTAACCACCGAATTTCGTATCGCGGCGCGACTTGCGAAGGTGAGGCGCCTGCTGTTCGTTACGCGGCATATTAGGGACCTCTCACACCGGCGTATGTCGATACTACATTTATTTATTTATTTGTTTAGTTATTTGTTTATTTGTATTTACTTATATTCTCTTAGTAACGTTGTAAATAACACAGAAATGGTAATGGAGTCATGTAACTTGTTGATCGTGGGACAAAAACTGACATTACATGTACAGTCTATCCTATATCTTGTTGGTGATTAGAACAATCACGAGTAAGTTGCTCCGTCGGATTTATACCTTCATAGTGTAGTGTAAATGGTTAGTGTGTGAACACAGTATATCATGGCACTTGATGATATTGCCACGGAAAGTGCATATTATTGCCATCTTTTCCGAACACGTTGAACTACAAAGCAAAATGAAATTAAGTATAGTGGTGGCAGCACATTTGCTGGTGCAAACAATAAATCTGTTGTGAATTCCAGTGATTGTGAATAAACTAAAACATTTGTAAGTTAATTGGTGTTAATTAAATGCTGCAAGATGGTATTTAGAGTTTAACAAATTTTGTTTTATATCGTTTCAAAATTAACTCATAAAAAATGTCGGTATTTTTTGTGAATGCGTAAGTAAGAATGTTTACTTTCCCACTGTTAGGTTATGTACGTTTTTTGAATTATTTATGGAGTTAATATATTAAAGGGATACATTATATATTAATTAAGAAAAATATAAGACAAGATAAACAAGTATTGTTTGACATTATTATAACAATGGTATTGCTTATTGTTATTATTTTGAACTATTCAGTAATCAAGATAGTGAAGTCGAGGGAGATTCCAATGGAGATCTACAAATTGCATCACCTGGTAGTTCAGAAGCTCAGCAAGCTCTGGCTCAGTTTTGGCCAAAGGTTACAGAAGAAATTAAAAAAATTACTACTGTAAGTATTATAAAAATATTTTGAATGTTTTATGATAAATATCATTGAAGTAATATGTTTATAGATGGACCTGAAAACACAGTCATTACCATTAGCAAGGATAAAGAAAATAATGAAATTGGATGGTGATGTGAAAATGATAAGTGCAGAGGCTCCTATGTTGTTTTCTAAAGCAGCAGAAATTTTTATACATGAATTGACATTGAGGGCATGGGTTCATACAGAAGATAATAAGAGACGTACACTTCAACGAAATGATATAGCAATGGCAATAACTAAGTACGATCAGTTTGATTTTCTTATTGATATAGTTCCTAGGGATGAATTGAAACAAAGTAAAGCACAAAGTGAAAGTACTGTACGTACATCTATGAATTCAGATCAAGTACATTACTACTTTCAATTAGCACAGCAACAAGTGTCTGCTAACCAAAATGTACAAAGTAGTAATACAACGACACAGCCTATACAAATTGTACAGCCTTCTACTGGACAAATTCAGACAATCAATATAGGTAGTCCAGTAGAACAGGTATGTTGTTTATTATTGTAATAAAAGCGTATTAATGATATATTAGATTATGTAATTATTTATATGATTTGTAGGAAAGCAATAGCTCAAGTACAACACAAACGGTAACAGTACAAAGTCCACAACAATCATCAGGTCAACAAGTTATACAATTACAAGCTCAACAAACACCTACCACACAAACTGGCGGTATACAAATAGTTCAACAAATTGTAACACCTAGTGGAGAAATACAACAAATACCTGTATGTACATTTATTATAACAATTAATGAAATAATTTCTTGTTGCTCACATTTATTTTCCTTCTTAGATACAATTGACACCTCAACAACTTCAAATGATTCGTATGCAAGTGCAGGGTGGAAGCAATCAACCTATCATAATCCAAGCTGCTCCTATACCAGCTCAACCTCAATTAATACAAGTCGCGCAAGGCGCTCAAGCACCTGTCTTTCTACAAACTAGCGGAACTGACAATGAGTAAATGTTAATTAATTTTAAGAAATATTTAATGTTTAGTAATATAATCTTAAACGCAAACACAGGATTAAAAAAACAGTACATGTAAGATTATACAGAAAGGAATACAATTTTTTAAAATTATTCCTACAAACAAAGCGTTTTCTGTACCTTTTACCCCTGTTATCTCAAAATATAGCGATAAAAGATGTACTATTGATGTAACAAACTATTTATTTTTTAAGATGAATAAATAAACTGAAAATTATTAGGGAAAATACGGTTTCTGATCGTTCAGAATTTTTTAGAACTCTCAAAGAACGGGTATGTATCGCGAGTCGGTTATAAGATGCCAATCGAAGGGTTGTCACTGAAGCGAAATGAAGTGAATTGAAGCGAGGTAAAGCGAAGAATAAAGATAAGCAGCAACGCAAGATGTAATCTGATTCGTACGTCGCGTTCCTTAGCCGCTAGCTGCTTCGCATGGCTGAGCTTAGGACTGGCTGGTGCAACTTGTATTATGTTTCACGTTGCTGCGGTTCTTGTCTGGCAAGTCTCGAGCGCAAAGCCTTCAACAGTCCCGAAA